AAGAAATTAATGAATTATGGCTCATTATACTTTTACAAATACAAATCTAGGAGTTAATCCCATGGAAGTGAATGGGAAGATATGTATAGGAGATATGTATATGTATAGGAGATCCCCTATACCTCCAATCCCCACTGGACAACAATATTTATACACTTCAAGAATGAAAGCTAACCATCTGATTTTTTTTCTAGAGAGAAACAACTGAGGAAGGGCTGCCGTGCATTCTTGATGGAGAGAGACCAGATGGACCAAAGACTTAGTAGTTGGGAGTGCAAAAGCGGCTCTGAGAGTGTTTGCCAAACAAGGGCAGACATTACAGAGGACAAGACAGAAGAAGCTCATGAAAAAATGGTGGAATATCAGTTAAATAAGAAGTGGCTTAAAGCTTCGGTAGACAGCCTCAAAATCAAAAAATCTAAGGAACCCAGGCCAAATATTTTTTTAACTAAGAATACTTCATTGTTGGTCCAGATTCACAGCTAACCTTGTGATTTTTTTTCTAGAGATAAACAACTGAGGAAGGACTGCTGTACATTATTAGTGGATACTGGATAACAAAAGTATTCTTTCATATCATCGTATGTATGTATAAGTGAATATGAGAAGAGCAATAGGTGTAATGGAATACAAAAACAATTAGGAATGTAGCTATGACTTAAGAGAAAGAAGAGCTTTGAATCAAGACTGAGATGCTGACATTCAAAAATATTCATCTAAGTGACGAGAAAGAGGCGCTCTGCAGAGAGTACGAAGAAAGACAGTGGAGGTGAGATATTTTTAGACAGCCATCATGAACTTCATGGAGTTCTGTTCCAGAATTTCATATTAAGTTTTTCTTATCTTAGAAAGCGTGGAAAAACCTGAAAATCTCCTTACTTTACAAAGAAATTAATGAATTATGGCTCATTATACGTTTACAAATACAAATCTAGGAGTTAATCTCATGAAAGTGAATGGGAAGAAATGTATAGGGGAGATCTTTCAACCTCCCATCTTCTTCAAACTACACACACACACACATGTACCCATGAAGGTATTTTTAATATGTTTTAATTGAAGAAAAAGAGTGATAATTCAAGTAAAAAAGCTATTTTTTTTTTTTACTAAGGGAGCTAATTTCTCTCTGGCCTTCATAATTTGCAGAAAGACAATGGAAATGTCAAAACTGCTGACAGAAAAAGAGGAGCTGGAATTAAAAATTCAGGAGCTTTTGTGAGAAGTGAGAACTTTCCCCATATCCTACATTCATAAATTTAATTTGCTTCTGAAAATCAGTTTTAATGTGTTGTAATTGAATAGAAAGCTTGATAATTCAAGCAAAGAAACCTATTTCTCTCAGGTTTTCATAATTTGCAGAAAGACAATGGAAGTGTCAAAATTGCTCACTGAAAAAAAGAGGAGCTAGAATTGAAAATTCAGGAGCTCATAAATATAAAAGAAAGGGAGCAACTGACCAAAGAAAAGGAGCAACTCTGCGAAGAATATGAAGAAAAGCTGAGCAGGTGAGAAAATTTTAGATAGCAACCCTGACTTTCTCTTCCTTTCTCAGCTATTTCAATTAGTTTTAATTTTAAAAAAGTTTTATGATTCAAGTTAAAAAAAAATCTAAGGGGGCTAATTTCACTGTTTTACAGGAAAAGTAGCTCCGATGAGTCTGGGCAGCTGGACAAACTCAGACGGGAGAATGAGAGTCTCAGCTGCCAGGTTCAAAGATTCGCTGGAGAAAAAGCAGAGCTCCTGCGAGAAAATAATCATCTTAAAGAAGAACTTTATAGGTGAGAAATATTTAGATGAAACCTTAACTTTTTTTTTCAAATATAAATTTACTTATTAGAGCCCTTAGGCCAGATACACTGGATAAAAGAATATTTCTTGTGTGTTCACACACACATGACATGGGTGTCATGAAGATATTTTTAATGTGTTTTAATTGAAGAAAAAGGTTGATAATTCAAGTAAAAAAGCTATTTTTTTAAATTAGGCAGCTAATTTCTCTCTGGCCTTCATAATTTGCAGAAAGACAATGGAAATGTCAAAACTGCTGACAGAAAAAGAGGAGCTGGAATTAAAAATTCAGGAGCTTACAAATAAACAATTCCAACTGGCCAAAGAAAAAGAGGAACTCTGCAAACAGTATGAAAAAAAGCTGATCAGGTGAGAAAATTTTAGATAGCAACTCTGACTTTTTCTTCCTTTCTCAGCTATTTTAATTAAAATGTTAATTTTAAACAAGTTTTATGATTCAAATAAAAAAAACACTAAGGGGGCTAATTTTGCTCTGCTCTTGATATTTTACAGGGAAAAGTAGCTCCGATGAGTCTGGGCAGCTGAACAAACTCAGACGGGAGAATGAGCGTCTCAGCTGCAAGGTTCAAAAATACGCTGGAGAAAAAGTGGACCTCCTATGAGAAAATAATGACCTTAAAGAAGAACTTTATAGGTGAGAAATATTGAAATAGCAATGTTGACATTTTTTTCAAATTCAAATTTATGTATTTGAGTCCTTAGGCCAGATACACTGGATAAAAGAAATATTCCATTCATTCATATGTATGTATACGTAAATATGTATATAAGTATGTATAAGAGCAAGAGGTATAATGCAATGCAAAAACAATTAGGAACGTAGGTATGACATTAGAGAAAGAAGAGCTTCAAATCAAGACTGAGATGATGACATTCAAAAATCTTGAACTAACGGATATGAGAAAAAGGAGCTTTCTGAACTGCAAGATTCAAAAATACGCTGGAGAAAAAGTTGAGCTCTGTCAGTAAGTAATTATGAGCTGGTATAGACATGGTAACAGGTCAGCCAATGGGGACTGTTTGGAAACTGAAACATAGTATTTGTTTACAGTTTGGAGTCTGGGCGTGGCTTAGACTTGCTGAACAGGTTTGGCCTCTGTAACTCTACTCTGTATTTGAGTTGCTTCTATGAATATTGCTTCTGCGTTCATGATTTTGTATGCTGGCTTGTGCTCTATGGTATTGTATATAAAGAAGTTTCTTATGTAGATGAATCCTGCAGAATTACTTAATTGCGTGCTGGTTGGATGTGCTGCCAAAATCTGACAAGCATCTATGAGAAAATAATGACCTTAAAGAAGAACTTTATAGATGAGAAATGTTTAGATAGCAACCTTGACTTTTTTTTTCAAATTTAAATTTATTTATTAGAGCCCTGAGGCCAGATACACTGGATAAAAGAAGTATTCCATTCTTTCTTAAGTATGTATAAGTGAATAAAAGAAGAGCAATAGGTATAATGGAATGCAAAAATAATTAGGAATGTTAGGTATGCTTAATTCAAGTAAAAAAATAAGAGGGCTAATATCTCTCTGGTCCTCAAAATTTACAGAAAGACAGCAGTGATGTCAAAACTGATATCAGAGAAAGAAGAGCTTCTAATCCAGACCGAGATGCTGGCGTTCAAAAATATTCAACTAAGTGACGAGAAAGAGGCGCTCTGCAGAGACTACAAAGAAAGACTGTGAAGGTGAGAAATTTTTAGATAGCCACCATGAACTTCATGGTGTTCTGCTCCAGAATTTTTATATTAAGTTCTTTACCAAGAAATTAATGAATTATGGCTCATTATACTTTTACAAATACAAATCTAGGAGTTAATCCCATGGAAGTGAATGGGAAGATATGTATAGGAGATATGTATATGTATAGGAGATCCCCTATACCTC